ATAAAGAAAATGAAAAGATACTATCATTTTTAATCGTTCTCACATTTTTCCTCTTCTCCGCAATAAACGCTCAGAAAAATAGGCATTAAATTTGCCGACAGAAATCTAGACACTGATTGGCCTTGGAGTAAAATGATAGATTGACCTTCGAATTAGTAAATCCACTTGGTGTGTATCAAAGAATCTCTCATTAAATAAATCCTCTTTTTCTTCATCATCTTTATCTTCTTCTTTTCTTTCATCTTTTCTATTCCATTTTTTTAAAAGAATTAATTTTCAATTTGTATGCAGTTTCTCTAACTCGTTTGTGCTGCAATTATTTTCGTTAGAAATTCATGAAGATGTTATATTATTCTCAAGGCAGAAACACATTTAATGAGGTAAATATTCTTGTCTTGTTTTCTACGTAGAAAGAAACCGGACTTGCCCCCGATGAATCGGGACTCTTTCAGCATTACATAATGTCTGGCTTCTTCCTCGAGGTACATTTATGTTATAAGAACATCAGAAAAAAAGACTTTGATTACGTAAACAATTTTTTTATTATTATACTCAATTTATGGGAGACCAAATCCAATGTTCACGGTCAAACCAAATACTATGACAAACATTTTTATTCCAAGGTTACTTATTGTTTTTTTTTTCTTGTTTTAATTTGATTTTCATTATGAAATTAAATGTTCGGAAAATTTTCTCGTCACACAAAGGATATGCTAAGTTATATGGAAAAGCTAAAAATATCTCAGGGTTTGTTTGTGTAAATACACATTGCGAAATGATTGTCGCTCGTTGCGGATGAACCTCTCTCGTGTGAGAACGCGTTCTCTCTCGCAGTTTAATTTATTCGCGTGGCATATGGGCAGCCAAGCGAACACGTTTGGGACTGTCCATGAACGTTACGACCTACGCTGTCCGTAGACCTCGTATTTTTGATGCCGACACACCAGCTTAATCCCATCCATTTAAAAAAAAAATGTAATTTCGTGCTCCAAACATTGTCTGTTGGCTTTTAAGTAACAACAGTAATACAATTCACGATAATTTCAGTGATTTTATTATATACCACTACAGCCATATAAGATTCGAGTCTTTCGTTTATGTACTTTCCTTATTTGTTGATCTTTTTCATGGAAATAAATGATACAGTCCAAATCGAGAAGAGTTTGCACAACTGACCTATACATTTAAGAAAATACTCTTAACACAGACTTTGGCTTATCTTATAAACGCATTCCAGCAAAGCCAAGGTGACAGAGAGAGAGTTTCTATCTCTGTCTTTTACTGGTTGTCCTCAACCCAGCATCAAGGCTTCACTTGCTTATTCGAGACCCCAACTCTTCTCGAGAACTCGTCTCGCCGGAAGCTGAGCCACGAGAGATGCGAACTGAGACCTAAACGATTAACTATCAAAACTACGTCTGGAATTTGATAATATATGATTTTAATGTGGTGTAAGTTAAATAGAAAAATTAACTTTGTGTGCTGGTATTTCATTTATATTTGGAAGAAATACGTAGACTGTGATTTTACAGGGATTTTGAAGTATTTACGAAATATAAAAGATTGAAATTTATTTATTCTCTATATAATGAAGATGATAATTGAATATTCAATTTTTTTATATTTAAATAAATAAAAAAAAAAAAGGTTAATAAGTTGCTTTTTTGTCAGTTTTCTAATAATGGAGTACAAATAAATAATTTTTGGAGTTTTGTTTTTTTTATTCACTTCAACAATATTATTAATAAAATATTAACTGAATTTTAATTTGATCAAGTACTTCAGAAATGAAATATTTTTATAAAGTTTTTATTTAATATGGAAAACAAAAAATTTATTTTTATTTATATCAATTAAAAAAAAATAAAACCAGGGCCATTGAGTGATAATTTTTATAATTGATAATTTTATGGCAGTAATAGGGTAGTAACATTACGGTGAATGATAAGAAAACATAATCAGACCTCTATATGACTTTATTTCATTGTCACTTGAAGTAATATTAGCTATCAATTATAATACACTTACGACATTTTTTCTCAGTAATTATTAAGATCAACTAAATCAATCTTCCAGCAAACATTTTCCCGTTGTAATGATGCTATGATTTTTCCTCGCGATTTTCTGATAAAAAAATAGTTTGTAAATAGACGTTGATTATCTATGCTTGCTCAAGGCTTTATACTTTTATTCAAATCTCATATTACACAGCAACTCATTACAGTTTGCTGTGATTGGATAAGAGAAAAATTTTAATTATAAAATAGATGTAATAAAATGAACAAAGAAAAAAATATATAGAATTATATATATTTGACTTCTTGTTTACATCAAGTGATACCGTGGGATAGAATATTTTTGCTCTGACCTTGACACACAGGGGCTTTCCAACGCGTGGGAAAGAAGCTTGTTATAAGTGTATGAGTGCAATAAAGAGAGCAAAAGAGTGAAATACATTACCATTGTCGATTAGATGATTTTTTTAATTTTCTAGTTTTTTATATTCGATTTTATGTAGATTTACACATTCTAATAAACATGCACACGAAGATATAAATTATTTTCATCACATGTTTACGTTGGAACTTGAGTAATGCACTGAAAGGCTGAATATGAAAAACTACTCTTAGCTGATTACATGCGGAAGCTCATTGTAGAAATAATCGAAATTAATTAACATATTTTGTTGTGTCAACATTGGTTTATGAATTTCATGTTCTATGTGCATTATCATCAACAAGTAATTGCTAAATTTTGCTATTTGTAACAAAACAAATGTTTCTCACAGATATTTATTTCATTTTTTTTTAAATTCTTTCTGCATAATTATTGTTTTTATCAATTAATAATTCTTCTGTGATACAAATCTAACTCTCTCAAGTTCAATTTTAATCAACTCCATTTCAAGTTCAACGCATGGACAAGATCGTTTTCAAATTTATTACATTTATAATAAATATACTTTTCTTCAAAAAAAATTATTTCTTCCCTATAATATTAATTTTCTGAGCATCGAGTGTATTTTATCGAATATTATCAATAAAATTCTCCGATTCCGTTGATTTTTATTCGACTGTGGTTTAACTTAGATAAGAAATTTCTTCATCTATATAAATTACCAACATCATTATGATTATTTTTAATAAATAATCTCTGAAGAAATGTTACTTAATATTATTGATATTAAAAAGAAATATAATTAATTAAATACTTAATATATAATCAAATCAAAAACGCATATTCTCTATGAAAAGACTGCTGTGTTCTCATTTAAAAGTACTTGAAAAAAATAAACATTATCGAGAAACCTATTTACTTTTAGACTCAATTAGTTATATTCTGATAAATATAATTAAATGGTGTTTTTTTTTTTGTTAGAAACTGTAGATTCTAGAGTGTGGAATAAGCACGTTCGTAGTGTTGAGAGACGTAAAATAAACAGAGATACCAATTCTAAGAGCTTTATATTGCAAATAGAAGGGGGTAAAGCACGGGTGAGAATAATTCCTGGAATTTCTGTGAATGTGATAACAGGCGTTGAGTGCCCTTCGAATGTTGAACGACTTCACTATCATTTCAGACTGGTTTAAAGTGTAGTTAAATAGAGCAAAAACTATTTAAAGTATTTTAATTACTTTTATTATGCAGTTTTGTTCAAACTTGATAAAGTAATTTGATTTATTTCATCGTTAAAATGATAAAAACATGCATTTTTTATTAATTAATACGGCAAATATATTTTTTATTATGCCAATAACTGATAGGATCCTCCCCTAGACGTTAATGTAAAAATATCTACAGGCCATTAACCAAGGAAGGAAGATGCACACCCAACATTCAGTATGTCAAGATGTCAAATGATATCGGTCGTTAGATCTAGGACTGGGGCAATTAGTAACAAGCATTATTGATGTAATTGCCCTCGTTTTTCTCCATTGATATGTTCATTGGCCGTAAAGTCAATCTGAAATGTCCCGTAAAATATTTATCAATCCTATTGTGTGTATTAATATCCTAGATTATCTTGGCATTTGATCTTGCATTTTGTCATTTGTTTGATAGTTTCTATTATTGAATAATTAGTCTATCTTTTTTCCTGATTGTGTGATAAAGTATTGTGGAGTTTAAAATATTTTCCGTTCTCACTAGATTAAATTCCTCTTGAAGTGAACTTTTCTCAATTGAGTCAATTAGTCAATTGCAATAATTAAGAGGGAAGACTTGTCTGAGTTTAAATGATCTCGGTATTCTCATCTATTTTAACTTTTTGTCAAGTAATGTAGTTTCTTGAACTCTTTTATTACAAATTTGACTAAATAACACAATAATTTCTAATAACTTCAAGTTTCTAATGATTATTTAAGAAAAAAAACTCGATATTTGGATTAAAAAAAAAAATTAATATTTTTAGTTAGGAAAATTATTTATTTTTGAAATAAAAAATAATATGTATTTAATAGTAAGACTTTTTATTAAATAAATAATAAATAAATTGATTGGAAAAATGTATATTTACTTTGGTTCATGATGGACATAGAGGATTGACAATAAATAAGTCATAAATTAATGTGTAATATATAGTGAATTTTATTTTCATCAAGTTTCATTCAAAAATAAAATTATTCGTAAAAAAATTTCATCTCAGCTTTTATCGAAATATAACATATTTATGTATTTGTATAGCATTATTATATAATAATTAATTAATAATAAAGTATTAATTACTTTCATTATGAATAATAATAAAGTTACTCAACTACATTATTATATTTATTTAAACTTTTAACTATAACTAATATTTCCACCGTAAAAGTATATAGTCTATATGGGGTTTTAGCTTATATACTAAATCACAAGTGGCTTTTTAAATTTACTTTCATACTTTTGTGCAGCAGCTTCTTACAAGCGCTTTCTTCGTGTTGTTAATATCATTATCGGTTTCTCTCTTCGACCCTCGTACATGTTTAACATTTATATTTTTATGTAAAATTACTCTTATGTTTTTTTTTTTCTCGGTCATTTACTTTTTGCCTCATCGATACTTGTACAAAATAAAAGGCACACTGTGTAGACTGTATTGCATTTTTGTGCATTGCATTATTATTAGACAACATGTACTAATTATTTTTGCAAACACACTTTTGATAACCGGGGAATTTTTTATGTCGTCTATGTAATTGTGTCATTTAATATTTCATTATAATTGCACAATTGTTTAACACAAGTATTGCAACGACTTTTTTTTTTGATTTTTTAAAGTTTTTTTCTTTTACAATCAGTAACATTGTATTGTTTAACAAAAGAAATACACGGGACACATTTTTTTTTATTACATAAAAAAATTGATTTTATCAATTAATTATAACTTTTTATTTATTTAGTATCCCGGAATGTTTAGAAAGTATAAAAAAAAAGTTTTTTAAAAAAATGTAATTTTTTGTAAACAAAGAAATTTTTTTATACAACAAAAATATATCAATTCAAGTTAGTTTTGAGTGTGGATAGACCCACTGAATAAAAAATGCGGGTTCGTTAATCAAAAATGAAGGTTAAATATGTCTAACCTTATCTACTTATGACTATTATTTACTGTGCAACGCGCGTAGGCGTGAATTCGGTATATTAACTATTAACAAAGGGTACCTTTGAACCCGCTTAGTTGAAAACATTCAAGAAGAATAGTATTAAAAATTAATTGTAATCATAATACCATCTCATATATCTCTAAATCCAAGATGTACAGTTTATTAAGGTCATCAATCTCTTATTCCTAAAGATGCTGACCCTGGAGATGTATTATATTTCAAAAACGATGCATAATAAGCATCAAAAACCCGTAAATATGTATTCTTCTTTTTGTATTAATATACCGTATTCCACGATCATTACAATATGCATAGTACTTTAAAAAAACAATCAAGTTTATTATTAAAGCTGGTCATCTTTGAGATAACGCAACTTTAGAAATTACATTAGACTAGATGTATAACAACGGAATTTTTTTTTATATATCTTATGTTTATTTACCAATTATTAATCCAATGATAGAAAAGAGAAAACAAAATAGAGCAACACGGAGACATGCGCTCCTAAGAAACAAGTAGTAATTCAAAGATGAATAAGTAAAAATAATACAAAAGTTCATACACGTCAAAACGAGCAGATTTTTTTTTAGGTTCACGCCACGGCGTTCTCCAAAATGGCCACGGTCTCTTGTTTCTCTTACTCACACACTTTCATAAAGTATTAGTTGGTCTCTCTCACACACTTTTTTCCTCTTACTCGATGGCGTTCCTCCTCCCACCAGAAAACGTCAACAGCTATCGCATACGTGTGCGTAGACTGTGTGATATATCCACTGCTTGCTTCTTTGCGTAGCACTCAAGGCACTGACAGATTTCTTCGTTTCACTGCGCGAAAGAAACAGTCGACTGATAAAAATCCAACGTTGTCGTGTGGGTCTCAACTATTGAGACAAACAGGAAATTGTCTTGTCACATTGTCTACCCAAGACCTCAAACAAGCGTTGATTTAATAAACATGGTGATGCACTTGGTGCTCGAGGAACATAACTATATGGTCATTTGACATTCAGACAGCAGGTGGTCCATGACCTGCATTCATCATTCAGACCAAGTCAACATCACGTTTTTCATCATTTTATTAATCTTCCAAAACCTCAGTCAATCGAGATTCTGTTAAACTTAATCTATGAAAATCTTGTGATGATGATGAGGTTTAATATTGACCAGAAACTGGCATTATTTGACACCCAGATTGCACGTGATCCATGACTTGCTCTTTTAGACGACATACATGCTCTTTAAGCCTGTGGACAACAGCGCTAAGTTCACTGTTTTCACCTTTTAGCAATTTAACTTTGTCCTCAAGCCTTGAAATCCTCTCCAGTTTACGTCTGCGGCATTTAGAAGCTGCTACACGATTTCGTTGTCGTTTTCTTTCCAATTTTATTTTTTCTTGACTCTCCATGTCAATAGGAGACATTGGTGGTGAACTGGTAACACTTGGTACTGTTTGAGGTTCATCTTTGATCATAACCAAACTTTGTGATAATGATTCTGTACTTTGAACACTACTTGGTGGCTCCAAAGTTGTATAAGTTGCCCCATAAATACTTCCTGGTTCTTGAGAGCTGTCTGAGTGGTGGAGCTCATTAAGAGCATCGACAAACCCACGTACATAACGTTCTTGATCTTCTGTTACAGTTTTAGGAAATAAAATTTGATTAGTTGGTGTAGGTAATGATGTGACAAGTCCATCATTTTGTGAAATGATGAATTTTTCCAATTCTGGTGATCCAAGTTTCAACATATTGAGATCTGGTGAACTGAGTATTGATGGAGCCGTGCTAAGAGCTGGTGGAAGTGGTCCAAGTTTTGGCCTTTTGATTTGTGGTGACTGACGTTGACCATTAAGATCCAAAGTGAGGTTTCGTTTCAACTGACCAACATTTTCTCTATTTCCATTAACATATATTGGCTCCTCATAAAACGTCGGCTCCATTGTCGTAAGACTTCGCACCATCGGTATTTAAAAAAAATTTACAACTTATAGAAAATAATTTCCTATTTTCTTGTATTCTTTTTATTCTTCCTTTTTGTTCAATGCAAAAACGTGCGTTACGAAATTCTCCACGAAAGGCCTCGCCCAGACGTCCAACGCAGACTCTTGTTTTCCGTCGTCTAGAAAATAAAAAATATGCATTTATTAAAACATTGTTATATTCTTAAGAATAAATTATCATAAAAAATTTAAAAATAAAATGATAAAAAACTAAATATTATCATTAAAACCAAAGTTTTATTTCTTTTTAATGACTTTTAAGGTTTCAGCAAGGTTTTTAAAAACTCAACATTAAATATACTACCACTAACAACATGGGTTAAGTCCATAATACTCTATATATGAAGTTACATAACCATTCTGTGCAATGTTTTTAACGATGAATAATTTATTTACCAGTAATTCCACTAAAACAAAGTCTTCTATTCACAATAAACACTTAGTTTATTATGAGCCGTCAATGTCTTGTTGTTTTTTCTGTAGTTACAGGCCTCTAATTTCTGGCAATCTCTTCAATGAAGAGAAATCTCGATTTTTTTTCTCTCTCAGACCCACGAGGTCTGACGCGTTTGAGATTCAACACAACAATGACTCACTGAACTACTATTGCTAACACCGAACCGTTAAAACAAAGTCACTCTACAACACGAGTGGCATGCACTTTCGTTCTTTTTTTTTCCTTTCCTTGCAAAATATATATGCAGACGTACACTTGCACGCGTGTCACAGTGGTTATCCTTTTAGGTATCGGATGTCTTACGTACTGAACGGCACGGTGTCTCGACAACTTGTGAACACTCAACTAAAAGTACAGCCTTATATCCCGTGACTCACGTTCACTAAAAATAGAATTGACGTCAGAAACGTACGATCTTATTGGTCGATGGTGGCGTCAGACAGACACTCTGATTGGTCGGTCGACATCGTTTACTAGGAAAGAGTGGTAGGTCGATGGAGGGAGCATTTAAACGTCGGCAATAGATCGACACACCAACTCTCACTGTTTCACTCAATCTCACTTTGGTATTTATTGCTTTCTCTCACTCGATTATCTTTCCCTTTCTAGCTTGTCTGATGAACGTGTTGACTCTCCTGCTCATATGTACATTTTTACTGAATCGGTTTGACGTTTTGCTGGCAAAGGTGTGCTTCTACAGCGATAAATTATACTTATTTTAATGAGTAGTAAATGTGCAATCTGCATATTATACTACACACTTGATTGTCTATTTAATTATTTAATTATTTTTAATATTATTGTAGATGAATTTACTTTTGAAAATGATTTTTAAATGGGAGAAAATTAAGTAACACGTTGGTTTTCCTTCTTCAGCAGGTAAAGTGTTTACCTGCAGGCATCATCTCCTTCTGCGATCACAGGAAAAGATTTATGACAGTGTGTTTGACCAATTTTCTATGGAAAATAACCACTATGCAAGTTTTAACTTGTTCCTGCATGTTTTGACTGTGAAAGAAAGTCTTTTAAATTTTTTAAATAATTTAATTCATTTTTTTTTTTTTAATTTTTTTTAATAAAAAAATTTTTGGAGTACAATTATACGATTACATTTTACATTATCTTAAAATTAACAAACAATAATTATTTAATTTTTTTTTCAAAACTAAACAATTGTTTATTTATTAATTACATAAACAATATAGATTCTGATGTAAAAAAGCTGATCCAAGATTTTCTATATTATCGATAGACGTCGAATTTATCTACAATCGTAGTAAGAGGAGTTTTTTTTTATCGAAACATTTCTGGTTTATCATCAAATTATTTACCCTCGTATCAATAATCAATATGAATTTCTAAAACTGAAAAAGAAGTTTCAAAATCATTCTTCTGATCAATTCAGTACCTTAAAGCCTGTATTATAATCAATTCTCAAAAATATTGGCTATTTGTACGAAAGTAAAGTGTGTATTTGTTGTACAAAAAATTGTAGGATCCTATTTTTTAAATTTATTATCCTATAATGAATTAGTAGTTGATTTTCGTAACTATTAAAAATTGAAACATCTTTAAAGTAAAATAAAATTTTCTTTCCATTTATACTATTTATCTCTTATAAAAATATTGACTTTACAAAATAATATTCTTTATCATGAATAATATATTTGAAAAAAAGAAAACGTGACTAAATTATATTTCAAATAATTCTATTGTTGCAGATGTAGTGTGAAATTTCTTTCAACAGTCTCGTTATCTTTCAGAAGACCAGGTAAGCTGTTCTGCTCCACCCTACGTCCTAGGCCTCAGGGTATAAGTCTACTTTTACTCTCCAAAATTTTAAGGTATTTATAAAAGTTAGTTTAAACATAATTGTTTTCTTTTTTCACCAAATGAGAATCTATACACGCCTACTTTGTTTATCCCATCAGAAATATCACCACGACAATTATAGGATTACTTAAAAATTCCCTGGGTTGAATAATATCTCAGTAATGAATGTTTATTCATGTTTTTGTTATTCTTTGCCATTATCTACCATCGAGAATATAACCATTTTCCTTATTACTCGTCTTCACATTAGGATAAAATTAAATCTCTTAGTATTTTCCTTGTCAAGATAATATATGAGAAACCATCAACAACATCTTATAATAAAATTATTAACTAAATATAGCTAATTAATTTGAAAAAAAATAAAAAAATAAACAATTTTTTTCAAATTAAAAATAAAAAGGATATAAAAAGATAATTTGAAGGCCTTATGAATACAACGTACATTCTATTTATTATTTACAACAACATATACCAATCTTTTTTTATATTCATTTATCACGCAGTTTATAAAATTTATATTTTACGCACAGTATATTTGTCATAAATCGCTCGAGATTATTTCAAAATTTGACAATTCGCTGCCAGATCGTAATTATGTATGCACTAGGAATAAGTCCTAAAAGGACCATTGACAAATTTTGGTCTTATATTGGAAATAGGTGTATATTTGTTTTTATTTTTAAGTTATAACCACACACTTTTCATACAAACCAATGGAATTTTATATATAGTCAACGAGTTCAATAACTCGATTTTTATTAGAATATGTGTCCATATGCTGTAAGATATACAACATACGTTTTTGATAGAAAATTCGAATAGTTTCCATATCAGGAATAATAATGCATCAATATATAAGTAGAATTGAAAATTATTCAGATACGTCACTTATACAAGCGTATATATTATTTAATAATATCATAATTTTTGTGTGTGAAATATTACTCTTGTATTTGAAGAGACTAATTACACACTTTCACTCATCAATAATTACAATTATTGTTACTATAATTCAAATTAATGAATATCAAATAATTTTAAACACAATTATCTCGCCCGCGAGGAAAACAATTTATCATCATAATTCTCGATGCTTGGTTTCTCATTAAAGAAACATTTTATATGACTTGTTTAATTGAATTTAGTATAAACATTAACAGCCGAAAAGTTGGACGGATGGCTGTTGAAGAAAGACGAAGCGAAAGAGAAAATCAAGTTAAAGTGCCAAGAAATAGTAAGACATAATTTAAATAGATTTAGTCGGTAAAACCCTGTTCCATTTTTCACAATTAGTGCAATAAGATTCGTTTCTTTATATTTTAATAGATTTATCGACTATCACAAGACATGAAATATTGCATCGAGAATGACTAGAATTAATTAATTAATTATTTCACATAAAAAGTAACAAATAAAATTGATAATTTTTTTTTTATCCTTATAATAATAATATCATTACACAAGCTCACGTGAATATTTGTTTTTTTGTATTATCTATTATATTAATACGTCCACGCAAATCCTGTTTTTTTTTTTAATGTGCAGTTAATGCACTTTTAACATATACATAAATTTCAGAAATATAAAAGTAACATTGTTAACATACAATAGAAGTAATATCTCAGTTTTGGCACCATCATCTCGCTTATACTCGCTGCATTTCTAATGTATTTTTAATTCTAATACATATCTAGTATTTATTCACTTGTAATTTATATATCTATTTATTTTTTTTTACGTGAATTTTTTTAGACTCTTTACATGAAATTGGCGATGCAAATTGGCACGAACGCGTAAACAAATATATATTTATGAAATATACCCGTCCACTTAAAATTTAATATGCTTAACTTGTACATACAAATATTCGATCAATGTAACGATATTTAATATATATTTATATAATTTTTTTATAACTTATTTTTTAAATAGATTTTTTTATCTCTATTTTTAATAGCTACATTTACACTTACTTTCTGTATATTATTTAGAGTACAATAATCCTTAGATTGAACTAGACATCTAAACAAATTATTATTTTTATTTAATGTAACAATGAATTTTTGTTTTGTTGTAGAATTACTGTTATTATTTTTATTTTTTTTTTTCTTTAGTTTCGATATTATGTTTTATAGATTTTGATGAAAATGTCACGAGTCTTTCTGCGTTAGAGAAAGGCGTGGCAGGCGGACGCATCTATGTGGGAGTTGCAATTCTGTGAGATGAAAATATTTCTCTTTACGCGAAAAAATATTCTATCATCAAAATTGCAATTCCATGTGGACCCATTTCAAATTCCGGCCCGCATAGGAATAAAATGTCGTTGGTTTAATTTGTTCTTTTTTAAAGAAATATATCCATGAACAAGGCACTGTTCGTAAAAATTTGTGGGTTCACGTTGTTAAAATCACTCATTTAATATCGATTTGATGTCTGAACTATCTAGATATTCTATGCTTTAATATATTTTCTTTCTATTTTACACTAAATAGCAATTCTTAACAACGAGTACCCGCCTAGATGTACGTAAATTTTTTTAAATGAATTCTATAGATGGATTGATTAAATCCGGGCAAATAATATTTTTTCCTTGACATGACTAACAAATAATTACTTAGTAGGAAACGTTTGTATTTTCTATATAATTTTTTTTTCTCGCTTTTCATAGTTATTTTATAATACAATAAATTGATCTATAGAAAAGTGTATTTCATCAATGAATGAAATTGCAAAACAACTGAGTGATCAATCATCATCAGCTTTACAAAAAAAAAAAAAAGAAAAAAAGTAATGAACAAATTTATATTCGTTCACGAAATATATATATACACAGGAATTCATTATTTTTAGTTGCAGGATTGTTTTTTATCAACCACAATAAATTCATTGAAATATTTAACTCTGCAACTTTTCTCCTTAATTCTACTTTATATAAAACAAATAAATTTTTGTCTTTAGACACAATAAGTGCAAGACAGTTGTCACAAATAAATTCTTAAAATATTCATCAAAATAATTATTAACATTACAAAATATTTCTTGCTTAATTGCAAAGATTACAATGAATAAAAATAATACATAGACCCACTTCATGATCTATACAAAAATAAAACAATAAAAGTAGGACAAAGTCGTTATTTCCTTCACTTGTAAGAAAATACAAAAATGGTCCAGGGGGGCCTGCGTTTTTACAATTGAAAAAAATTAGCCCGGCCGTCGCAGGCGTAACGGCATGGGTTACAAAGGGAAGCACTTGGTCTTTTTTTGTGTCACAGCTGACCTACAGTCGACTTTATCAATTGTAAAGCTCTCTGGTTTAACAGATTCTTCAACAGATATCCTGCCAAGTCGTTTTTTCACTCTAAACGGAGTAGATCTTGGAGAAATTATTTCATAAAGATCACTTGTTCTACCTTGAATCTGAGCTCGTTTCTTGGGACTTGCAGACCCTGTTTGATCCACTGGAATCGCAATGTCTACTTCAGAAGAATGATTAGCGCTATTTTTTGTTGTTTGTTTAACTGGACTAGTGATGTTATTGTCAGTTTCATCACTTGGTGGAGTGAAAACATCAGAAAGACAGCTCTTGGAATCATAAAGTATACCAGGATCGAATGAATCTATTGTTTCATCTGTCCCTGACCTAGGTGTTCTCGCTGACACAAGAGATATTGTTCGTACTTCAGGCCTTGTTGGCTTTGCATCATCAGCGTAATCTAAAGATAAACAACGTTTTTCAAATAACGCTGGGCCTATTGGTTGCTCTTCGTTCTTTTTCTCCTGATTTATAACAGTCTTTGGTTCTTTTTTACTTTCATTTTCGAACTTCAGTATCGAAGGACGACGAATGCTATTTTCTCGCTCTATTGATAAACAAAACTCCTTATCAGATAATGAAATTTTCTTTGGAAGTCGAGCTGGTTTTAAACAATCTAGTTCCCAGTCTTTTGTTTCCTCTGAAGGTGTTCTGAGTAAACTCTTTATTTTTTTTAACTCTGTAAGAAGATCCATCGTTTCTTGGGACGGCTCATGAAATATTCTTCTCAGTGGACGTCGTCTAAATGACCCGGTAATCTCTTCTTCATTTGAATGATCAATACCTTCTTGCTTTTTCAACACTGCCTTAGTAGACCCTGTCTGTGTAGTATCTTTTCTATCATCTTTACTTGTCACTTGTTCAATTGGTTTTGATTTTAAATTAGACACAACTTCAGTTTGACCTTTAGGATCTTTTGTTTTTATCTCATAAACTTTGCTCACTTGAACAGTTGGACTTATTGTTTCTTTTGCAATGAACTTGTACCGCTCTGTAACAGTTTGATATTCAGTTCGCGTTCGTCTTTTAAATGCTGCATAACTTTCTGCTGGAACGTCTTGAACTTCGAATTTACCCTGAAGACCTTTGAATGTACCTTTTAACATGTCTTGACTATTGTTTGATGAACGTTGACTAGCAAATGGAGAATCACTTCCACTTTGATAGCCAAGAGACGATGCTGATGGTGCAGATTCAACAACAGTTTCTCTGGAATACTTTAAATTATCTGAAGAAATTCCACGTCGTTCATGATATTCTTCATATTCACTGCCTTTTTTGTCTTCAGATTTGTCTAGAATATCTTCAGATATTTGTCTTCTAGCTCTGTTAGCATAGCCAGTTCCACCAAATTTTTCTAATGCTTCATTAAATGTTTGCCGTCTACTTTTCAAGGCTAATAACTCAGCACTCCTTGTTTTTTCTTCCATTTGCTTTACTTTAGCCAATTGCTCAAACTCTGGATTTTTAATTTGACTCTCTAGCGGCTCCTCTGAAGCCTGTCGACGAGTCTTCGTTGGTGAAGCATCCAAATCTCGTGGTAGCGAGGAATTTTTACTTTTCGCAGGAACAACTTTAATTGGCATTTGTGGCTCAGGTGATACTTTAGAGATTCTTCTCTTAGTGGGCGAATTTGGAACAGTTTCTTCATCACTTAAAGATATTTCCCTAGAGCTAAAGTTTCGCTCGAGTGTTTTAAAAATCATGGACGGCTTGTCATTCCGTTTTGTTGACCACCGTGGAGAATTACTCCAACTAGCTGCAGCTCTTGGTGAACCAGCATAACCAGTGCTTGAAGAAACTATTTCCTCACTAGTTGTAACTCGACACTTGACGAGTTCTACACCTCCTGAAAAGCTGGCTTCCAATTTAGTAGGACTCGAGGGTTCATGTACATCTTCAAGGGGAGGTAATGAACTTGGACCCGTATCTACAACATCGTCTAGAGATGAACCTCTAAGAGGATCTCGGTGATTTTTCACAGATATATCATCTAGGTCTTCAGTCTCAAAAGAGTACATTTTTAATAATAATCCTTTCCCACTTCGTCTTCTTTCAACACTATTAAAAGTATCTGGTATCTCTGGTATTTCTTCCTCTTCAACAACTAAAATTGAATCATTTATAGTTTCTTCAGTACGTGCTTTTTCAGTTAAAGTAGGCTCTACAATAGTCTGAGTTCTTCTCATCATCGCTCTCGGTATTTCTTTAAGAGATTCAAAATTAAATTTATCTAAAGTCTTGGACGATCCAATTTTATCTAAGAAAGGCCGCTCTAAAGCTTTACTAGGACCAATTTTTTCTAAATAAGGTTTACCAGTAATTCTAGGTGCTATTTTTGAAAGGAATGGTCTATCTTCTGTTTTTGATATTCCAATTTTTTTCAAGAAAGGTCGTCTCTTTTCACGATCTTTACTTTCTACTGATTTATCATTCAAACGTTCATTACTATAATTTGAGGAATTATCACTACTCTTGGAACGTGCTCTCTTATTTCTCGAGTTTAAATTTAATGGTGTTCTAGGCGTTCTCGGAGTGAGCGATGGACTAGCATCAGGATTAGGGCAAGTCTCATCAAGTAGTGCTATAGCATCACTAAGATCCATATAAGCTTTCCTAGGTGCTGAAGAACTAGTTCGTGGAACAAGTGCATCACTTTCCCCACTACTTCCTCGTATTGAACGTAAATCTGGCCTAGACGGCAGTTGCTTATCATTCCGGGAGAAGAATAAAGAGGGATACGAGCTTTGGTCTCCAGGTCCTGATGTCCAGGAATCTGTGAAAGACTCTTCTGCATACCAGGGTGTTACTTGCAAATCCTCTGGCCTGGTTGCTGGACTTTGTGGCATAATCGAATGTTGACGATGATAAAGACTTCTGGCAATTGCACCTCGGCTTGTTGACTGACTTGGTGACGGATCCACAGTCGAACGAGGTGATTCGTCATTTGCGGTTATCGTACGTCGGTAAGTCGAACATGTGGCAAAATGTGGGGGTGCAGGGTGAGTTGTTTCAACAACAATTCGACCCTGAGCACACGGCACCACCGGCTCGCCATCCGTCGGCGCTTCTTCTGGCGTCAAGGGCAACGCAGCCCCACGACCGAACTCGATGAACCACAGCTCGTCCCTCAACTCGCTTTCTCACTTCTTTTCATTCATGTCTTTATTTAAATAATGCAGCACGTAATGTAGAACTAAATCGTAACAATATTTGTACTCCGTCTGTAAAAACAATAAGATTGATTGATCAATTTTTCTTGTAAATAACAAAAAGGAAGAAAAGTTTGATTGAGAATTGACAAGTCAAACTTACCATATTTTCAACCAATTGAGGACGATGCCTGCGGACAGTCTTAACTGCTTGAAAGATGTCAACTTCCCCATGTTGAATGACTTGTTCAATACAAGCATTTGCGGCACAATACACACCGCAACGACTTCTGCCATCAGGAGACACAACAGCTACAGGTCCATAGTCTGTTCTTTGACGCCATCTCTCTACCATATTCATCAATTCGACAAGACTATTTGTCGACGTCGGTACCGCTTGACCCATTGGCCAACACGTCAACTGGAATAACTGAACCGTTTTAGGGGGTGCTTTCACGCCTGCCATCAATTCTGTTAATGACACGATTTTCTTGTTTATCCTAAAAACCTATTGAAATATTATGATGCATCAATTTCCCATGTATGAAGGATTAAAACCTGTCTAGAGTATTGATTTTACACTAACACTTACCCATGTTTTAATGTTAGTGTAATGATTATGGCTTATGTGATCTATCGTAAAGACCGGTCCGTACTTCTTGGAGTGTCTACCTTCTGGCCAGAAACTAGGGAAGTTTTGGGAGGATGCGGGTGGAACACAAAGTACAACCACTGCTGAGCATTCATAGTCATAAACCAAAGACCAAAACTCTCCACAAGTATGCTTCAATGGCCATTCAGTTACTATGTACTCTCGTGGTTTAGTATATCCCTGATAAATGAATTCATGTTGGTTAAATTCAAATCCATCAAGTAACGAGGTATTTTCAAAAATTTTAAGTATAAAGCTACTTACGTCCACAAATACAGCGTTGATGTAATCTGTGAAACTGTTTCCTTGGAAACTCGTTAGATAAGGCCGAAAATTGTCAGCTGGAAATTAGTAGTCGTCAGTTAGGTTACAAATAAAGCTAATAAATTTTTGTAACTAATAAAAGACAGGATATTATAGAAAAATAGAAATGAAATCTAGCATTGAAAATTTTTATGATTGATTGGAAATTGTTCAGTGAGAAAGTGTTAAACCTTGAAGATCAATTGTTAATTTATAAATAACTTTCAACCCCACAATCATATTTTTATCGATTGATAATACTTTTATAGTAAACAGCAAAATAAATTATTGAAGGAAATTTAATCTACGACATTTCGATTTCATTTTTGTACTCAATTTCCTATTTTAAAAAATCAATAAAAAGGAAAAAGGCATTTTAATTCAGTATATAAATACGTATCTTATTTTCATGAGTGCCTCATCCTGTATTGAATTTTCCTACTTATTATTGACCCTTATATTTAATTCTATAATCAATAATTGGAACGGTCTTTAACGGGAATATTCCTATTTAATTTTTTGATGATCCTCAATATAAAAAGATCAACTAATAACTACATATCTCTTACAATAACTTCTCATAAATAATAATTATTTCTTGTTCTTGAAATTAAGTTAAGTAAAGAAGGAAAATGTTTTATGGATGAAAAATAATTTCATTGATTATTCAAGAACTTGAGTAGAATTTAGATGAAATAGTCTGCCTTTTATTAGTCTTAAAAGTAAATAAATAAAGAATCAAGAATAAAATGTTGGATTACTTACGAGGAACAACAAGTACATCTCGATTTTTTTCTCTGTTATCAGCTCGATGTCCACCAGCACAATCTCCTATCGTAAATCGAGGAGTTTGCTTGCAGATTTGTTGATATTCCCGTTGATACTCGTTCATCTTCGTTATTGGATTTTTCACGCTCTTCTGCTTCAGTCGTTGTGAGAGTTCCGATACTGGGAACCACGAGACACCGCATATTACGAACTCCTCGAGGGTGTCGTAGACAAATTTGTATTGGTCCTGTAGGATACATAACATGTCATATAAAAGATTAGCAGCTTAAAGTGGTTTCGATCATTTTACACCTCTTTAAGTTCATCATCACTTCAAGTAAAATTTAGTAAACTTTACGGTTGTATGACTTAAGTAAACATGAATAAAAAAAATGGAAATGTTGGAACAGAAAATGAAGAAAAAAGAAAAGAGTAGGAGGAATGAATATAGAAAAGAGACAAAAAAGAAAAGAGAGTCAACTTTAAATTGATTTTATTTTCTTTACCAAACTTTCTATAAGTCCTCGTCTACTTTGCCTCAGTTTTTTAAGATATCCAAAGACATCAAATGTGTCCTCTTCCTCAGCAAGTTCCATGTTTGCGTCTATTGCGAGATAAACACCAGAACGACCTCCACCATCACTAGATAATAATATTTTTTTATGTTATACATTCTTGTGACTATTTATCTTATCTTGGCATTCAGTCTGTTCTTTAGAGTTATATCTACTTACTTGCAGTGAACTACCATTGGACCAGATTCATTTTTTATTGTGGATCCAACAACAGCTCTCACACGTCGACGGAATTCTAAAACTGCATTACCAAACGGACACGTATGCGAATGCCATTCTGTATAGTGAAATTGTAAAAGTGTTCTTTCTTCACTAATCTCTCCTTTATCATCTGTTTTGTATAGTTTTATCGTTCGTATATGAAAATTTGCTAGTTCTTCTTCTTTCAATACTGACACACCTATTCCACCATACTCTTCATCTTTGTCTTTATTTGCTGGCCAATATTGTACACACATTACCTAGAAAATAGTATTTACATGAATCACTTTTACGTCTTTCTTATATAAATATTATTTCAAATAAATTTTTTATTCTTCTCTATTTTATTTGTTATATTGATAGGATCATGTATGTTAAAAAGAATAAAAAAAAATCCAATATTTCTTGTATTGTTTTGGGTGGATACCATATATGTGAATAGCTATAAAAATAAAAGTGTCGTAATCCATGCAATTGTTTCAAGTGAATTGTAGTTATAATGAATACATAGAAAGAAAATCGAACATGACATGAAATATTTATATACATGCTAACTTTTTGGGATCTGGAAACAATCATGGTTTTAACACAAGATATTAATGGAATAGAGAATTATTTAAAATTAAATAATCAATTTTATTTACATGAAAATAAGCAGAAAATCCTTTTAAATTAATCCTGTTTTAATAGAAAAATAAAAGAGAATCAAATTTTTATTTTTTAATAATCTAATTAATCATAGAATAATTGATGATTTTATTCCAAATGTACATGATTCTTTAGCTGACTTTTGAATTGAAGTAATTATAAAAAAAAAAATAATAATTCGAACAAATCATTAATACGTTTATTTAGCTCCAAAAGTTCAATAACAATAAATCAAAACAGAATGACGAAATTTGAATGGGCTATGTCAGAATTTGGTGAACTATGTCACCTGAAATGGTTGATAAGGAATAACTTATACAACAGCAGCTGTACCAGTGAGAAAATATAGCAGTCCAAAATTAATGTTCAATTAATCAATGCCTACTGTACGTTCACCAATCACGTCCTATGGAGCATTGATCAGACATTCGATCTGCTCTATTGCGTTCCTTTATACGCCCATAATCGATAACAGCTGTGATACAACGATGCATACTCATGTTGAACAAAATATGGTCTTTGAGTGTGAATTCAGTAACATACATTTATGATACAATGTCCATTGAGATTTGATAACATCATTGAATATCACTGAGGATCATTACAAGCTCTCACCTTAATAAAGTCGAATGTTTTTGTTAACATCACAATACATGATGCTCTCTCTTGCCATACCATTCGCCAAAATTCTGTTACTGTGTTTTCCATGGGTCCCTGAGTCACGATGTAGGCATTAGGCTTCAATAAACTCTGGAAAAAATGTCGTTGATTTATTTTCAGGCAATTTATTATCAAGTTTACAGACCTGGAGTAAATATTTCTTTGGATTTGTAATGGAAAGTAATTTTTTTTCTCTCATCATTTAATGTCAACACGAGTTGTGTTTGATAAGATAAGTAACACAAATTATAAATGTAAAAGCCTTTTAATTAATAAAAGGTAATTCTGTTCAAAAGGACATCCATAGAAAATTACTCTTTCATTTATAAGAGACTTATATTCTTCTTTGAAGGTTTTCATAATTCTTTACAGCTAATTGTAAAAGGAATGTAATTGTTATTTTACATTTTAATAACTAAATTTCTATGCTTTGTTAACGAAAAATTAAGTAAATAAATCAAGTTGTTAAGTCTTCAGACTGAACCAAATGGTCTCGTTTTAAATGATTGAGTGTTGTATGAAAAATATATTGTACTATGTTCATAGCTACAAATGTTTTCATATTTATTTTATGAGTCATTATTTAAGTACCATTTAACAACTCAAAGTCATGCATGAAAAGAACTTTGGCTTTTTAATAAATGCTACTCGAAAAAAATGAATACTTTGCAAGAATGAAATATTTTTTTTCCTGCCATTATTTTAGTTAAACTAGATACATATTTTATTTAATATCAACTAATACCTCCATCTTATCATATCAAAATCTCTGATTATATATTGAAATAATGTTTTCTGAAAGCTGTTCACTTTGTAGAAAAATTTTCTAAAAACTTTTATCTTCTTATGAATTTTCTAAAGTAAAAATTAAATTTTTTTCCATCGTAATTCATCAAAATTACCACAAAGTATCTTGATGAATTACCACAAAAATTAGCACGTGATAAAATTCTCCAAGAGCGTTTTTACTTTCAGGTCTGTGTGTGGAGTGAATAAATTAAAAAGTAAAAAATAAAATAAATTGCTCACATCTACATATGAAGCGTTTATATAGTCAGAATCAGGTTGTCCCTCAATTGTGTCTAGAACAACTCTATTGTAATCATCTGAAAATTAGCAGAAAGAGAGAGGATCATTAATTGCTGGCAGTAATAACAATATTTATCACTCTACTCATGATGATTAAAGTAAAAAGCTTATTTAATTAATTATTTCCAGTGATGCTTTGTTACAATTATATGGTCTTAGTAAGCCATCAACACGATAATAATCTACCCTAAGGAATTCTCTCATTTTATCGCCAATAGAACAATTAAATGTTCTTGACAATTGGTGTGTTTTGCAGTTGTTTAGAACTTAGTATGAATGTGCTTCCTTTCGCGGCATGCTCAAAGGTTCGAGGGTGAGGACAATCTCCCGTATAATTAACTTCTCTTAATTGGTTTTGCGTTTCCGAGAAATGTGGTGCTGTAGTCGGTCAGATGCACCACTTGTTGATGAGAAAATCACCCAGAATCATTATTACACGTCTAGGCTCACACTACACTCTTATTATTCATCAACTATTCCCATTATTCATCTAATCATGTCATTAATCTACTATAAAGCATCGTCCAAGTATTATCTGCACTACAATTTTCATTATTCCGTTTTCTCTTTTGCTCTGCATCTAATATTTTTACTCCTTTTTTTTTATTATTTTTTTTTCTTTTAATTACTTACATGGAATACAACGTTGATTCTGGTTTTTCTCCCTGTTAGCTGGTTTCATTGCGTGCCTACACAAATGGGTTTCAACCTTTGCTGCACTCTGGAAATGTAAAAAATTTTAAATATGAAAAAAAAGAACTTTATTATTATGTACATTTATTATCTCAAGTGAGCGTAAAAAATATCCTACACATGATCCCTGATAACCCGACTGGAATTAAATTGAGTTCACGTGTGGTGATTGTGAGAAGAACTAATTAAATGGAGAGAATATTTATTTCATAAAATTCCATATTTTTGTGTGTAATATTATATTGTGTTGAAATATTTTTTAATAAAATGTTTCAATAAAAGTTGTATCCTCAACCTCGGTTTCTCTATGTGATGATGTTGTACTCAGATACTTTATTACAAAGCTGACATTTTATTTGCATTGTTATATTAAAAATTTTAGAATCAAATTTAAGATATATTAAAATCAAGTGTTCTACGATAAAAATATTTACATGATAAAAAATAATTTTTATTTTTATTTTAATCCAAAAATTATTAAGTTTTTTTGTTCTCATTATTCCCTTAATAAATGACAAAGCATTCTCTTAATTTTGATCAAACAATTAAAAAAAGTACATAAATAAGAATTAAATGTTTAAATAATGTTTTATTATTAAAATAAAGTATTTATTCTTTTTTTTGTCAATAAAAAATCCAATTGATCTGCAAAAGTATTTACATTGTTTATATATTAAAATCCAATAGCAAATACATTTTATTTTGCTCAGCTATATTTTTCATTAACTGTAAATGAACTCCATTACTTAGAAAGTAAGTTTTCTCTCAACGTACATCCCCCATTCATTTCCTGTTTCTCTGTTGATTGATGTCAGATTAAATCACAGATTTTTCGTTAAATAGTTATCCTACGCATTTTTAGAAGAAGCCATAGATAATATGAGCTTTTAGATAATCAATAGTTAAACGATTCAGCCTGAAGCATTGTGTGTACCGTAGATATTGCTTCGATCAAATTCCCCTTTATTTGGATTCCTTGAAGCAATGTAAGGGCTATCAGGGTAAAAGAAAAAGTAATAGTTGTAGGTGGGCGTCAAGTCACAGCTGTAACCACAGTCAGATTGGCGATCAAATGAGTACTAGCGTAGTGAAACATGGAAAAGCTTTTGGTATGTCACCCTTCTGCCGTCGGCTAACTGAGAATTGCTACTCGACTGAAGATCAATTGCGACCGAATTCCCGTTTTTCCAGTGCTCTCACAATTCACGAGTAATAGGAAAAAAAGCGGGGCTTGTAACTAATCGAATAGAATTGAAATAAAAAACAATAGGAAATTACATAGCTGTGTAACATCATATACACATTAATGCAATTGTGACATTTGAAATATTATTTTCAAGTCAGCTTTTTCATTTTGTCATATAAATATAACTATTGTTACATTTATTATTATCATTTCAACGACGCGAGAATAAAATACTTGACATGCAAATCCATTTTTTGAATCTTTACGTGCAAAACGAAAATGAATGTGGACAAATATAGCACTGATAGAATTTTGTCGAGTTGTAGAATGATTTTTATTAAATAAATGTAATCAATTTACTGAAAATCCGATTATGAAGGATACAGTTTTAAATAATGAATCTAATAAATTGATGAATAAAATACATTTCAAAATTTATCAAATTACCATTTAAAATAAATTTTACTGCCTCATACATGAGATTTTATTTATTATCGATTTTAATGATATTAAATAGTTAAAGCGTTTTTATATAATAATAGCCACAAAGTTAAACCTATACACTCGCGGAGGAAATTTTTATTTAATACAAATTTATTTTTATTGATATACAATGAGATTTGCAGTTTAATAAAATTAAAACCATTAACTTTTAGCAATAATTTTTTTTGGATTCAGTTTATTAAATAAATTAAGAACAGTTAATTTTTTTTTTATTTACTCAATTTTATCTTGAAGATATGCCAATAATTATACCATAATTTAAATTATAAATAAATTTTTTTTGATTATTTTTCTGTAGATAAAATTATTTATCCACAGATTTGTAGCTATCATTAGTTATAAATCGTAAATATATATTTATCCGGAAATTCGACAAATCCAGGTAATTTATATTCTAAAGTAGTATTTCTTTAGTATATGGAGTATATTAGCTAGTTGTCTACACAGCCAGTACCAAAACTGAAATGGTACATTGTCAGGGGAAACTTTGAACTGCAGCCAAAGTCCTAGGGATATATCTCTTTCAGTCGTCGCGGGATTACGTGCGTGACAAGAAGTGGTTGGCCAGCAAACCTCGACGAGAATACTGCTACCCCTTTTCTAGACTTATTCGAGTATTGTACAAAAGCTATTTGACTCTTTTTTTTTCATTTTATTTTGTTTTACTTCCTTCAGGTCACGTATGCGAAAGATGGCCTTTAGGATCGAATAAGTTTGATATTGGTCACTAAATTGAGTGTGCATTATGCGCTATCGAGTTTACGAAACTATCTTCTTTCGAAAGAAAATTTTTTGTCTTTATTTTTATCTTATATGACGTTGTTTATTGATTCAATTTTTCATGGATAAAAAATTTAAAAAATTGATGAAAGAATTTTTTCTTCAAGATTATGAAGCACTACTTTGATTATCTGTATGCTCAGCTTTTGGAACTACTTGATGATGTAATTTATTCTAGAATGAAGTATCATTTTTCAGGGACTTCAAGTTTAATATTTTAGCTTAATAACATACATTAATAAAATGATATTCCAAGATTAAGAATAACTTTATTCTAGATCATAGTATCCTACAAAAAAGAATAATTATTTTTGATTTTTATACACAAAAAAAGTGCTCTTTTTTTATTGATATTGCTTAAAAATATTTTAAGTCTAGGAATATTTTTTTTTCCGTGTAAATAGTGGATCTTTAGCAAAAACAGTCTTATTAGAAAAGACCACTAACCGCAGACAATTTAAAAAAATCGATCAATTGTAAATAAAAAAAACTAAGTCTTCAATACCACTTTTTTCGGAGATGCATTCTTTTCAACTTCATTAAGCTAGTTCTTAATGTTGAGAAAAAGCTTCCAATATATACTGTATTCATTAGCGAGCACAAGCTTTTTATTATATCCATAAAAGATAAAAAAAACTTTCAATACATTGAGAAGATAATTTTTTGCTTCTGATTTAATCATTATTTATTATCTTGGAAAATTGGCAAATAAACAAAGAAAGAAATTTGATAAATAAATCATAACAGCAATGACATTTTCTTAAATTTATACTCTTGACACAAAAAATGAAATTAAATAGATAAAAACATCACTATGACTATATTTTAAAAAGCTTAGTTAAAAATATAAATTTCATTTCTGTGTACTCTTGGTATTTTTATACACGATTAATTTTATTCATTGCCAGAGCAAAAAGCAAGATTAATACCAAAATCAAAGTAGACATCTCAATGGAAGCATAAAAGATAGTGAATGAGAAAACAAGCAACTTTATGAAATGAATTTCAAAACAAGTGTTCAAGCGATTTCCTTTTGTTCTTATCTTATTGATGCAAACTTTCGCCATAATTTAAATATCATCATTTAAACTATCTTCTTCAAGAGGAAGAAAAGAAAAGAGCGTTTGATGATGACGACAAACAGGCGAGACAGAGATCCGTTGCCACAAAATTCACGACTTGAATCTCGTGCCAAACGAGAAATCGATGTCGACCTCGATACCTCCTCTTTTTCTTTAGTGACACTCTAAAAGCATTCTCACAGGATTATCTCTCATCTTGTCTCGTATCTATGCACCAAGCAAGGATTTATTCGATGTAGTACTTCATTGGCATCTGGTAGAAATAGGCAAAGTCCTTCAATCTTGTGCATTCTGTGCACTTCAATATTTATCACGTCAACTGTGTGTATTTCAAGTACCTTCACTGTCTCGCCTGTAGATGCTATGCTTCAACTTGTTAAAGCTGCATCAGAGTTCCACAAACTTCACAAGCTTAGACATTTTCAAGTTTACGAAGAGAAAAGAAGAACAGAGCAATGCTTAATATTCATCTTAGCTCATGTATTTTATTATTTTCCTTCAGAGTAATTTTTTAATAATCTAACCTAACGACATGGAATTATTTCCATGATATTGTGCTCTTGAAAACTCTTTTTCACTTAGTGGATTTTTTATGTCATAAATTTTCCCTACTTTGAAAAATATTGTCAAAGCATAATAAAAAAAAATTACTTGCTAAGATCCAAGAGAAAATAGAAACACAAGAATAATAACAATAATAATAATCGTGACATAAACAAATGTGGAAAACTTACCTGAAATTCAACACGATAGAGAACAGGAAACTTTCGACGGAGTTCACAGAGTTTTGGATACTGAGCAAGCGACGTTGGTGCAGAAGGCAAAGTTGTTCCCATGTCTCCAAGTTCTTCAGCAGCTAAAATTTACAGTTGATAATAACAACAGTCATTAATAAATAAAATATCTAATTGGTAATAGTTGTAAGCAATAATCATTTAATTATTTTCTAAGTATGTTAACTATAATTGTATAATAAATGAGTACCGCCAAAATTTCACGGTCTGTCGTTACAATTAGAGAAAATTGAGCCACCCTGACCTACTTGGCATGATCCAATAAATGCGAATGAGCTTTCACGTTTACGAAAAACAAACAAATGATTTCTGCGTACTCAAATAATCCTATAGAATACGCAAAAAAACTAATTATTCTGTAAAGCATTACCATGCAGAATCAACAAAAAAAATGTCGGCTGAAACATTTACTTTTTCTCCTTCAAGTTAAATAAAAAGTTGGACGTTGTATTTCAGATATTTCTATTTAGACAAATCCAACAAATGGAAGCTCGGATAGAAAAAAAACACTGAAAATAGTTGGGGGGAAAAAAATAGTCGTGATATAGAGTGAGCTGAAAGTTGCTTGACCTTTATATCTACAAGGCGACGACTTTGAACTCAGGGTTATGGGGAAGTCACTGAAAGTGTAAAAGCCGCCTTGACATAGTTGTGTTTGGGATCCCTCCAACACGTGTATTCAATCAACGGATTCTTCTCATCTTATGTCGCATATGTCACTCGAAATAAAAGCCTTAAGCCTAATTAGATTAGTGGATTATAATATGGCGTGACACTCAAAATACTGTTATGAATTTAGCTTGCCTTGGACAAGCTTTGTTTATATTGAAACAAAGATTTTTTCACTACTCAGTCAATAGCAAAGCCAGTAGCATATTTTTGTGATAATAATTCACAATAATTTTCTATTTTATTGACAATCATCAACTGTTTTATGATTGAATTGATCTCATTTCTAATTTTAATTAAAAAACAATATTTATACAATTATTTTCTCAATTATTGGTCCCTAAATATTTTCATTTGAGAACAAAAGAGAAATGATACTTCAACAATGTTATTAAATAAGAAATAGAGTTTTTATGACCAACATAATATGTAAAAAGGAGATCAAATTTATTTAATATTTGAATTTTCTATTAAAATAATAAATAAAATGTGATTGAAAATATTTGGATTTGAACTACTGATTCTTTAGAACATCATAAGTTGCAAGATTTATTTAACACTCGTAAATTTATAAATTCAAAATTGACGTTGGCCTCAATCTTATAGAAATAAGTATTCGTTAATAATTAATAAATCTATATTTGATCTTCTGTTTCTATTTCTAAATATCTAGTATGATTTGAAACTCATGAGATTGAATAAATATCTGTCTATAAATAATAAATACACTTGTTAATTAATAACAAATATTCATTCAACTTCAATAACCTTTGCTAAATAAGTTATTGATAAATTATCAAAGAAAATTGATTAATAATTTCATCAATCAATTACATCATTTATTTTAAATTTATGAACTTTAATCAAGATATATTATTATGGGTTCACAACAACAAACTATCATTTCGGTTATTTATTTATTATGCAAGCTTAAAGCAATAATCCCAATCGCAAATACTGAATTTGTGAAGGCACTATTTAAAGGATAGACCATTTGAGCCAATATTGGTCACCTAATAACTGCCCTAGAGCTCGAAATAAAATGGCCATTGAGACAGATGAAGCATACACATTGGCTATTGACAGAGAAATAGAAGAGAATTTGATTTGAACTGGGATTAAGTTGGAGATGAGTAAGTCTGAGAGTGGCTTGTCTTTAGTTAAGACTGTTGGATTGAGTTAAACTCGTACGTGAGTATGAACACAAGCAACGAAGCGTTGGACAACACATGTCGAGATGTGCATACTGTGAAGAATAGAGAGATAGAGAGAAGAAGAGTCAGAAAACGAGATTCATGGCTGGAATGGCGCCTCCTAGTCGCTGGACAGACACCGACTTCTATATGTCCTGCATTCATGCTGGAGTTTTCTGTCAGGATAATATTTTATCCAGAGAAAAAGCTTCCAATTCCAAACTTCCAATAGGAAATTTTGCAATGATATCAAATATTCATCAAATAATTTCATTCAATTATTTTAATAAACTAGTCTATAACAGGATCCAATGATAAAGAAGATGTTGGTGATATCTTTGATGAGATACTGGACTTATTATCATATATTTCCTGTTTTATTCATTGAAAATGTAACTGTTTAACAAATTAAGAACAGACAAAGTAACTTCAAACTTCACAGTTGGGTTGCAATTGTTGGCAATTGTGTCTAAACTCCAAGACAGTTTTCGAATGCTCCTTCATTAAAATTGCATTTCAGGTCCGGGGCACGTTTGTAATTAACAGAATTTTCCCAGCGTCAATTAGACGGAATAACTTAAACGTCTCTTCAGTCAAATAAAGATATTGACTTGTTAATCAATAGCTTTATGCTTTGGGACAGGCAGTGAATTGTTTATTTATGTTTAATCTGTGACAAGTACACATGTCAAGTCCATGACTTTTTAAATACACTGAAATAAAATGGAAGAGGTAAAATCTAGATGACCGTTTTAAAATGGTTGTATTTAATAAAACAAGCTTTTCAATTTTAAAGCTCCTTATTTTTCATGTTTTTGTCATTTCTAATTATACTTGATAAAAACCTATTTAGATATATCTTTTTTTTCAAAAGCAAATGAAGGTTAGAAGACATAAAGAAGAGTTGGAAAATATTTTACTGGAAAATAAAGTTAAGAATATATAACTTTAATGTGGAAAAAAAATGATAATTATGTGAATTTGAAAACTAATAAATTAAGTTATTTCTTTTTTTTTATTCATATCAACAAAGTGAGTGATGATAAAAAAATTAAAAGACAAGCTTTGAAAGTGTAAACAATGAACTTCTAAAATACGTCAAAATTGATTATAATTAGATCATCATTCACAGAAGTTCTGCGTTTTAAAAATTCCAGAAAAATTTTAACTTTTCAAGTAAACTTCGTTTTATTTTTAATTTTCCTTATAATTATGCTTCACAAATAAAAATTCTCATTTAACTTTTCCAAAATAGCTCTAGTATATTTATTATGCATTTATTCAATAATAAATTATTGATTTCTTCATTAAATAATTACGCTTTATTATAAGCTTCCAATTAAAATCTGATCGATTTTCACATTGAATGAATTTTTGGTGTAATAATTTATTTAAAACATTTAATTTATTGATAATAAACTAAAAGAGAAAAGAATATTGTTTTCCACGTGACCTATATGTTCAGATTGCCATAAATTACCTGAAAACTAATTGATCTTTAGTGATTTTTCCATCAAGAATCACTTGATGAGTCTATTCACCATCAATAGTGTCACTGATGAAAAATGAAATGATCTGTAAAATATCGATTAAATAAAAAAGAAAGCACTCTCTTCGCTTCATTGAAACTTTAGGAATATGTCTTAGATGATAGGAGTAAAGTAAAATAAAGATATAAAAAAAGAAAATGGGAATGAATGGACGTGGTAAGCTAGAGCATCGGAGTAGGTATATTCAGAGTTTTTAGAAGAGTTTGATGTTATTTTTCCTTATCCCCAGTTTATTTTTCAGCCCCCAAGAGCTTAAGTGTTGTAGTGTTGTAGGGTCCTGAGGTTGCTCAGGGCTGTAATTTTACGTGGTCTGTGGTTGTGGTTACGCAATAACAGATGCCAACTTGTGCTGACTTTCTTCTTGAGTCTCCAAGCTATAATCTCATCTCTGATATTTCGACTTTATAACTTGGTTAAACAATGTCTGCTAAAAGCAGGAGAATTTTTTGCAGACGATAAATAAAATGTCAAGAGGAACTGATAAAGTTTAAATCAGATTTGTTTTAATCAATATTTACATGGACCTTATCTGAATTTAACCACCGTTGGTCGCACGACTTATGTCGACATTTACCAGGCAAATAGCCCGCAAATAAACTTCCGAGAATATTGATTTTTTCTTGAGGCACTAGAAAATTGAATCCAATCGTATACTGCTGATAGATCATGAACATACCAACATTTAGTGCATGTAATGCATGGAAATTGTTTTACCAAAGCAGTTGAAACATATAAGAGCTCATAATGTACTTTACTAAAACATCATAGGAAAACCCTCCAAATACGAGTATTCATTTATAATTCATGATCAAGTAGGTTTCCAGAGATGCTATCAATGAAAACACTATTGATTTACTCATAAACTCAATTATCAATTAAATTAATTATCCAATAATAAATCTTGATTACTAAATTAAAAAAAAAAAAACTATTAATCTTTTTTTAATGAGCGTTAATGAAGTCATTGATGAATCTTGCAATTATGACGACATTAGTTAATATCAATTTTTCTAAGAGTCCATTCTTAATTCTCATTAGATCATTTTTGATTAAATTATTAAAGAGATTATTATCAAGTTGGATTTTCAAGTTTAAAATATTTTTTGATTGATCTTGAAGATGTAAGTTGATAGCAAGATGTGTCTAGACGTTTAATTGAGAATTCAATAGAATGTGAATGTGAAATACTTGGAAAAATTTTAATGAAAAGAAAAAAATCAATTTTCAAGTGTGTTTTAGATCAGTAGGAAACCTCTTTAATTATACTTTAAAATATTCCATCAAGTTGTCTTTGTGGTAAATCAACACACTTTGTGTTATATGATGTTTAATACGCAGAGCTTTGAATATACAACAGTTCAAGTAACAGAAACTTTTCTTATTATTCTGTAGAAATCAAGTAGTTCATTAACAATATTGATCGGATTATTATCGGTACAGATCGCGGCCGCCGATAATTTCTCCCTTCCTTCCACCTGTACACTCGATACTTCATTTTACAATCGAGGTCAGAGATCAGTTTTTTCGGAAGGATTATGCTTTTTTTTTTTGCTAATAAATTATAGATGCTGTGTTAAATTATACACACTGTCACAATTTTTTTTCAAGCATTAAAGACGAATAAATTTCTACCATTTTCCATCGT